TTAACAGGTTGGAAGAAAGTCTTGTCACTGTTGTGACTTTTTTATTTTCCAACTCAACATACAGTGGGAATCAGTCAACAATATACCCGTCACTAGTTAGCCACTACAGATCTCCTCCTTTCCCAGAACTGAAAAGGCTGCGAGTAGAGTAAGTGGGCAGCCTCTCGACTGATGTCATCAAAGTTGCTGAAAGTTTTCTTAGAAGCCCTTAAGGAGCAGGTAGCAGTCGTAGGGGACTACGTCAGGAGAATATGATGAGCGGGGACTGGTCTCCCAGCCTTGCTCCTCAATTATTTGGTAGGTCTCCATAGCAGGTATGGGGTCTCGCGTACTACGAACGAGGTGCCCCGAAGCTAGTCTCGGTCATTTTTCTCCACGTGTTTTCGGAGCTGAGCAACCAAATGGTAGCGGTGTGTTCTTACAGGGCAGCTCGTTGTGCAGCATTCCCCTCGCGTCCCAGGAGCAGCACAGGAGAACCTTCTCGGAATACATGCCCGTTTGGACTGCTAGGATGGATCTTCTCCTTGAGAGAGACACACGGTACTGTGTGGATTGAAATCGCAGAGGACCCATCTCCACTGAGCAGTCTCCTAGAAACTCCTTTTGACGAGGGCGGAGAAGGGGAGACTGACTTATGGGTACCAGGGTGCACAAACGTGCTATCGGTTAAGGTGGGTTAAGACCGCGGGTGGTAGCCTCCGGATCCTCCTTGACTGCTTCGAGAATGGTGGATTCTTCCACTCCGTGGGGCCGTCCCAACCGGTTTGCCTTCGAGGATCGTGTCTCCTTTCGCGAAGCGAGCGAACCAAAGGTGGACGGTCATGATGGTAGTGGTGTCCTCCGCCAATGCACAGTTGATGTTGCGGACAGCTGCCGTGGCTCCAGTGCCGCGGGCCACTGATAGAAGATGATGACCCGAAGATGCTCCTGTGAAACTGACATCGTAATTAAACCCAGGGAACTGCAGGTGGGTGCCTTAATGTACCTCTTGCCGGGAAGCTTCTAGAGTGTTCTGCAAGCATACATGTTACGTCATCTCCGAGCAACAAAAATTAAAAACTGTAAGCTTTTCAAAAAACACTGTCAGGACCTTTCTTTCCAGCCTAATATACCGTCATGGCCGCCTTTCACCATGTCACTATCAGCTCAAAGACAAACCAGTGCCAGTTTTGCGGCTGAAAGTTGTAGGTTCATAGTTGTCCCACTTACACCTCCTTTTCCCGAAGTCACGAAGCCCGTCTCCAGGCTCCATCGTCAAAGTTCGCCTCCCAGCGGAAGGTGATGCTACTGGCCGAGTAGCATGAAATGCATACATCCGTTATCTTACGTTGAGGTAGTAGGGTTCACTAGAAGGAACTAGGTGACCGGATTCGTCCCCACATCCAGGTCTTTTGGCCTGGTAGTCTACCATCCATTGCTCTGAGCTAGAGGGCACATTAATTTTTGAGTTTCCTCTTTGCGTGTTCTCTTCCATGACGATTCCCTGTCGTCATGCATGTCCCTCATCACAGCTTCCCTTCACATTTTAACACCAATACTACGCTTCCTACCGCGAATTTTAAGCATTTCGTAACGCGTTTCGGCATCAGTTAAACGATTATTATAATGTTCAGGATTTTGAAATTCCTCAATCTTCGATTCTACGAGGCCTATCTTACATACCTCTACCTTGGAATCAAGCTGCTTTTCCTAATCAATGTGCTGGTACAGTGTAGTCTTAGGCACTCGTGGGCACTGAAGACCATTTTAGCCAAACATTGAATGAGTCATTAAAGCGTAACAATTGTAGAGTTCTTCAGTCCTCTCTTTCATGCGCTCAATGTCAAACCTTTACTCAGAATCCCATCTTATTAAGGTGACTGTGGCGCGGAAGCTACCATACTCTACTTGAAATCTAGAATCAGGGCCTGAACGCTCGGTTGCCCTACACTCCTCAGCAGCTTTCTTACCCTACTCTTATCCCCATTCTCTCCCTTATCCCTGATCTCATCAAAAAATTCCTTCATTGCGTGCATAGTGACCGATTTACGTGCGGGGATTTTCTCGCCAGGCCTAGTACGACCTATTTGTGTGCTTTTGTCCTACGACTCATCGCAAAAAAGCGAGCCCTAAATGAGGCTCTCTCTCAACCGCAATCACGGATTATACCTCCAACTGTTGCCCATTCGTTTCAGATGTTTCTACTGAGCCGATTTCTGGAAACGAATTCCCAAGGATTCTACGGATATGGTATAGTATGGGACCTGATCACTGGACAAGGCTAATGTATGAGTCGAGTACAGTAGCTCAATACCCAACTACCTTGTTCGCCAGCACACTGTCAGACAAGCGTTTCATCATCTTAGGTTGGACGGAGTCGCCAAACTTTTCTGTGGTCAACCTTACTGCGATATGGAAATCCGTATTCTTGGACACGTCCAACGACATACTGTACAATGTGTGCTAGTTATCAATATTTTCACTGAAAAGGTGAACGAAGTTGAATGCATTGCCATCTCAAGAAGCCCACATCCGAGTGCAGAAAGGGGCATTCCGTTGCTCTCATATCCGAGCGGTAGTTGATGATTAATGACTTTCGCTGAACTTTGCTATTGGGTTGTCTGGAAAAGTTCTCAGCGTTTTGTGTTACTATTTTTTGTACATTCATTGCTGATTAAAAACTCATTCTCCCTTGCGTCTCAGTAGTACATCCTGAAGAGAATTTTTTGCGCCATCTGTTCGATGGTATCGTTTCACCATTGCTTGTTAAACCACTTTTTCCCGAAGACTTTTTGAAGCATGTCAAAAGAGCAACTTCGGACGATATTTTTCTTCAACTACGAATTGGGTCAATCCGCAGTCGAGACAGCTCGACAAATTAACCAGGTGTGGGGCCCAAATAGTGTTGGCGAAAGCACCGTACGAGAACGTTCGACAAATTTCGTTCTGGAGATTTCAGCTTTGAAGATGAACCTCGTAGCGGTCGACCTAAAGCAATACCTGACGAGGATTTGAAGGCATTTGTGGAAGCTGACTCCATCCCAAACAGTTCATGAGATTGCAGAGAACCTAGGCGTTGGCAAATCCATGTTGCAGATGGTCTGAAACGCATTGGCGTAGAGTGAAAAAACTCGACAAGCGGGCTGCCTCAATAATTTAAGTATTATATATATTATCCGGCAGAAATTGGCACGTCTCGAGGTTTCTTCTTCACTGCTTTGACCCGTTTTTGGACCGAATTGTCACCTGTGATGAAAAGTGGATCATGTATGATAACAGGAGACGTTCCGGACAGTGGTTGGATTTCGACGAACCACCGAGGTAATTTTCAAAGCCGAACCCTCACGAAAAAAAGATTCTGGTCACGGTTTGGTGGTCATCGGCTGGTGTGATCCACTATAACTTTTTATCACCAGGCCAAACCATCACAGCAGAACCCTACTGTGAAGGAATCGACGAAATGTACCGAAAATTTTGTCAGCTGCAGCCAACACTTATCAAAAGAAAGGGTCCGATTCTTTTGCATGACAACGCCCGCCCACACGTTTCACAAATCACTATCCATAAATTGAACGAATTGGGGGTTGAAGTTCTACCTCAACCGCCATATTCTTCAGACCTTTCGCCAACGACTATCACCTTTTCAAACATTTTCAGAACTCCCTTGCTGGAAAATACTTCATCAATCAGGACCAGGCAAAAAAGCCTTCGTGGATTCTCGACCACCCAGTTTTTTTCTTTGATGGGATTTCGACTGGTGTCACATTGGCAAAAGTGTGCTGATTCGAATGGTGCTTATTTGGATTAAATCCGATGAGTGTTAAGAAAGTTATGATCGTTTAAAGTGAAACACTCAAAACGTGCAGAACTTTCCGGACAACCTAATACTTCAATAGAAGGCACCCTCTCCTGATAAGTTAGAAAGTATTGTTTGTGAAGACTGGCGAAGTCCCGATCTTTTCGACGTCGGTGGTTCAGTTGCTTCTTCTTCCTCTTGGTTACCCGCTTCTGGGTTGTCAGCCGAGGTCTTCTTTTTGGCTTCAGGCCACTCCAATGCAGATGACAGGATAGGATGTCTTCCACACTGTCTTCCTCTTCTTCCACAGGGCTTTCCTTGAATGCTCCTGCTGCCACGCTTCCACTGCGCACTGAAGAGCTAAACCCTAGCAATGATAATTAGGCAGGAAAAACTGAAGAGGTAGCTTTGGACGGGACCGTCCCACAACACTTCTAACTGAACGTTTAGTTGATGTCGTAAAATGAACAACAAGAATTAAGAATTGCTACAACGAGAATCTGCTCAGTGTTATGCTATACTATGTAACTTAGGATTGCAGTGTTTTGTACCCGAGGTCTCTGAGATCTTATAGAAAACAGTGTACTACAGTATAACTACCGTATCCTATGATGACTCACGACCCATTTTTGTGAGCCGTGCAAGTACCCTGTTATGTTGACATAATTCTTCTGAAGGCGGTATGACGATATGACAATATGTGATATACTACCTACATTGTTTAAAGAAATCTATCATACGTTCACAGGAGATCGGCCTCTGGGCGGCTTGCTGGTACCTTTCCCGCACACTCCCGCCAGCGGCGATTGTCGTAGTCGTTATGCAGCAGTGCGTTTCGCTCCACAGGCAGAAAGCGTAGGGTGGGTCTTGTCCCCGTAACAACCACATCGCTTGTTTCATCCACTATAGTATTGACATTGAATGTTGGAATTGGCCTTCTTGGTCTCAAGTTATAAGAATGCTTCTGTTTAGCTAGAGTATTGCCCTTTTGTTCTTCTTCTTCATGAGGTTCTTCTGGAATCATCGAGTTCCAGAGGGATGAGCAAATTCACTCGTCATCTGGGGAGGAGGGAAAAACTCACCCATGCGCGTATGCGGCGCGGTTTCTTCACGGCGCCGCGGCGGCAGGGCGGAGCGAAAGGCGATGGCCCGCGTCTCCGGCGCTGTGCTCCAATCCAGCAGCCTCTTTTATGTGGAAGGAAGAGGAGGAAAAGTAGAGTGAGGAAGGGAATTGAGCAGATAGTGGATGCATATGTGAGTTAGTGGTAGGAGATCACAGAAAAGTCGACTATCACGAATTACTTCAGTGAATGGCAGAACTGGCGGCATAGTTCCCTTCGATTGTGAAAACGACGCAAGCAGCTTTTACACGAAAGTTCAAGCTGAGGTTTGGCAAATTGCCAACAGTTGGTTGTGACCTTATAACGCTATAACGTCACGTCCCATTCGAAGGGAATCATTCTGCCAGTTCCGCTGTTGACTGAAATAATACGCTCTGATTCGACTTTTCTGTATTCTCTGCTCACCATTACCACTAACTCACCTATGAGCGTTCACTATTTGTTCAATCCTCTTTTCTCTCCTCCTCCTCCTCCTCCTTCCACATAATGGGGCTTTAAGGGATTCTGATTGAAGCAAAGTGGCGGAGGCGCAAGCGATCACCCTTCGCCCGCCCGTCGCCGCGGTGCCGTGAAGAAACCGCGCCGCATACGCGCACGGGTGAGTTTGTACACGGAGCCGGTCGTCTGATTGTGCTCTTTCTGACCGGTCGACAACTCTGCTTCTCGAATCTGTCCATTCGAATCCTTGATGAGATTGACAATACGGCCTAGTTTCCAAAAGTTTCTTGGTTGCAGTTCTTCTTGTATGAGCACCACCCCTACTTTCGCTTGGATGTTTGTAGTCATGCTTATCTCGTGCTTCTAGCTCCTCGAAGTCGTTCGGCTTTCCAAAGAGCTGATCCATTCATACTCGTGGTACTCAGAGCCCACCTTTAGTTGGCCCTTATTGTGAATAAGCTTGCGAATGTCTTCTAGGGTTAATGGAGACACTTTAATTGCGTCGGCAGACAAATACTGTTTCAAAATATCTTCTGACAAGTGACACTCTTGCATGTAAACAACGGCAAAGCAATAAAGAACTGGATAACAATTAGCAGATAAGTCTCGATTTGTTGCTAGTTTTAGAACAGACAAGTACAGAAAACTGTTCAGATCCTCAGGGAGTACTCTAGCCAGAATAACCGTTAAATACTGATTTATGTCCGCTCGGAATTGAGCATTGAAGGAATAGCTTTGTGTTTCTGTAGCGTAGCACCGCCAAGTTTAAGAATCTGTGCCATGTCATGTTTGCGAAGCTAGCATGTCCTTAATATAGTCCGATACAGGTGATGGTGACGCTGTAGTTATAGACAAGACGAGACGTTTGTACAAGTAATCGGAGTCGCTGATGTTACGAACCCCAGCGCGTAAGTCCATCATGAATGCCTCGATACAACTTGTAAATGCTGACGAGTATCGTCTTGCTTCTTCTTCAGTAAATTTGTAAGCAACAATTAGAGATGTCTTTATTTTATTTGTCGCTGTTGTGATTTGGATCCCTTGAAGATGATCGGCCCGAGCCGTACGAAACAGCTCAGCACGGTTCCCTCTAAATACGCTACGAAGAGATCACAATGATCATCCGGAGGCAGTGCTCCATCACCCATGATGGATTCTTTTCCTTGATGTGGTCATAAAGCGCCTCACTGCGATCGAAGAAGGCCATCAGGATGAATGTCCCATTTCTGAGACAGCAAGAGACAAGTTTGGGATGTATTTTATGCAAAACACTTCAAAAGAAGTTGATAGAGCTTTCTGGCTTTATCATATGTCTTGGGGATCCAGGGCTGTAGACTACCACGCTGGACACTAAGATTTAATGGAAACAGGGTTGCAGAGCTCCCGATTAGTCTACGTTGCAATGGATCATACGCTGAGATATGAGGATGGGCCGATCGGAATATTTTGTTTAGCATTGCTTTTTTGCCAACAGGACCACTGCCGTCGGTGCTAGAAGACATTCTGGATGCTGGAATTGTACAATATAACACTAGTGTTACCTTCTGTGCTGGTGGTACGAACGATTCGTCCTGAACTTCCTCACTGGTCACTGGATCCACCGGATAAGCCAGATTGATTCCGTTTTGAATGAAATCAATGGGTCTTAGGCATGGATTCTCTTCCCAATCTGCTTCTCGGTAGGTGAGAGGTCGACTGTTGAGGCAACCTTCTATTTCTGTTATGGTCGTTGGCCTGCTTAGGATCAAAGGTTAGATCCGGCGGTTGCGGAAGCGGATACCGAAGCGTCTGCAACCTGAGGGTTTGCGGAAACACTTTGGTCGACACCGAGTGTCTGCGGTAATGGCTGTTCGACTGCCGTGGAAACGTCTTCGCCTTGAGTTGAACCCTGTGTCTCGAGAGGCACAGATTGGTCTATCTCATAGTCTTCAGGACGAGGCGGAAGTGTTTCCGTGGCTGCAGGATTCTCAGGATTGCTCGAATCAGTCACACTAACCAATTCGTTGAACTATCCCGACCATCCCTTCAACCTGGCTGTCAGCCTGCGGTAAAGTTTGCGGTAAGATCCTTGCTTCGCGTCGAAGAGTCCATGTTGAGTCTTCGAAGCCGCAGTTGAAGTCGAACGAGACGATGTTGTTGTCTTCTGTGATGTTCGCTTCTTCCTCGCCATGGCGACTTGAATGAACTGAATGACCGTTGACTATATCGCGGAAAGTGCGGAGCGTGGGAATTTCTCACGACGCCGACTATGTTCGCACCGAGCGCGAATGACGTAATCGACGGCGTGCGACTTTCCCATGATAGCGGTAACTCTCCCATGTCTGCGTCTCCAATTGTCATGCTCTCTCATGAGAACGGCTGGAAACGCTTGGGAAAGAGCCGATTTCCCAGCGAAATGATCGATAACGAGCCAGCAACGGAACTAACACCGATATCGATCGAATCGAAGGGAAATAAGGCTAAACAAGCGGTAAACAAGCGATTGTCGAGCGGTAAACACGGGAATTGATCCCTCAGCGGCAAGTCAACCAAGAATGATCGACGCGGTGATTTTAATCGAGATTCGATCGAAACGCGAGTATCGATCGGAAATCGGTTAAAAGCGGTAATGCGATGGATATCGCGCGAGAAGCACATGAACACTAGGAAAAAAATATAAGAAAGGAAAAGAAGGAAAGAAATAACTAAACTACATACCGCCTAAACTCATAAGTAGCCTAAAAGCTTACCAAACAAGCCGAAAAGCTGGAACTACCTTATAACCTTGAAAAACTTTAGAACCCTATTAAATTGAGAAGAACCCCGTAAAATATATTACCAGGGACTTGGAGCGACATGGCTGGTAAGGTGACCATTGGTTACTTTTACGGGTAATAGCCTTAAAAGGGGTAGTACCACGAGGTACAGGGTAAGCCAGAACCTTATGAACCGCTCGTGGACCAGTGCGTCAGGTGAGGTTGCAATACACCCAGGTTGCCCTACTTCCCGCAGAGCTGAACTGTCCTTCTCCCGACGCCTTTCCAGGACATTAACCAGTGGTTCCCTAGGTTGTAGTGCCCCTTGCCCGTGTAGAACAACGTGGAAGGAAACCTGAAGTCATAAATAATGTTCTCCAACTCTTCTAATAACACTTCTCGAAACCAACATGTAATTGCTGCTATGACCTATGCTATGAATGTCGGAGCAGGCCCACGCACACGAGATACACCACAACCTCAAGATTGACGTGGGAGCGGAGGAGAGGGCAGATGTGTGGCTGCGTACTGCTGTTCATGAACTGAACATGGCATGAGACTCGTTTTTCCTAGAGCATATCCATTTGGATCAACTGCTCTCCTGCTATGCTGTCTGAACATGAGTACAATTGTCTCAATTTCCCTATAGATGTGTAGCCACCAGTACGTTCATATGAAGTACGCAGCCACGCCTCCCCACCTCCCCCCGTTACTGGAATGTGGTGTATAATGCAATTTGTGAAGGGAACGTAGACGATACAACCCAAAAAGACGAAATATTTCAGATATTCCTTCTACTGTGGTTATGGTACACCTTACTGGCTCTCATCTCATTCGGAAGTATCATGTCATGGATATTCTCGTCGTTACCATTTGATCAACGGAAGAAGTAAGATACTGCAAAGAAAGTCGCGTTCAGTTCCAAACCTCAGCCTTTCAGTCAACTTGAGCTGTGCTTTTAATGGCTGAAGCAGCCGATGAAAGCACAGATCACGTTGATCGTATAGGAGAATCTGGCTAATTGTCTCTTGTTCACTAAACCGCTTCTCCTGAGCCCTCTCTCAGAAAGGGAGGCGTCATTGAGGTGAACGCAACGATAGAACCTACTCCGCCCATATGAACACCGTGGAATTGCTTTTGAAGTAAAATGATGATTCTACAGGTTCATCGCACGACGACTGGAGCTAGCCGATGTTACCTTTAAACAGCGAAATTTCAATGTCGAATTAGATGAGGTGAGCTGAATTTAATAGGTGTCATGTCACTGAGCACGCGTTTCTCTGTGACAACCTCTGTCATTTCATCATTAGCTTTATCACCCAAGGTCCAATTGTGAGTGTTCCATCG